TGAACTGCAGAACTGCAGTCAGCTGAAATAGCCTGCAGTGCTGCATTTAACCACTGCGCCACCTCAGCTCAGAAATTGTGGGTGCTTCATCACTGGAGATTTTTAAGAAGAAACTGGACTTGTCTGAAATGGTATAGGCTCTCCTTCTTATGCAGGAGGCTGGACTAGAAGACCTCCAGCTCTATTCCGATTCTTATTCTGACTGATTCAAAATTACTATCACTATCAAACATATGGATAACAATAACACACACTAAGGCAACAATAGTAATGTTATTAGCATAAATATAGCAATAGCACTTAGACTTATATATCACTTCATAGTACTGTCGTAGTGGTTCACAAATGTCAGCAGATTTCTCCCAACAATCTGGGTCCTCATTTTAATGACCTCGGAAAAATTGAAGGCTGAATCAACCTTGAGCAAGTCAGGATTGAACTGCTGGCAGTTGGCAGAGTTAGCCAGTAATACTTCTTTCTAACCATTGTGCCACCATCGCTCCTAAATATAATAATATTTATAATCCATAAATATAATTGCTACTTTCATAAAAATCATATTTTTATATGTTGGTCTGGATTTTTATCTATTTTCAAAGATAGCAAAGTTCTTCTTGTTTCTTTGGAATTACTTTTCAAGGAAATAATGTTACAAATGTCAAAAATAGAATTTTTCAGTTATATACTTACCGAAATGATATTTCAGAAAATCAGTAGTTTTTTTAAAATGAATCTTTTAAGCATGGAAAATATAACTTTATGAAATGCATTATTCATATAATTGCTGACTTCTTTTGAATGCCAGGTACTAAGTATTTGAAATATGAGATTAAAAAAACATATTAATTTTATTTCATATTTCAGCATTTTAGAATTCATAGGATCTTAAACCATAATTATTCTGTAATATTGTTGAAAATTATATTTTATTACTTTAGGTATTTGTACAAACTTTGTGACCTGCACAAAGAATGCGATAACTACACTGAAGCCGCCTACACATTACTTCTCCATGCAAAGCTTCTTAAGGTATATACTTCAAATATTTTTAATCTTGAAGGTTTAGAATTTAAGATGAAAAATTTCTCCAGAAATAAATAATACCTGCATACAAAATACACTAAATACAATAAGAATGAAACAGAAAGCTAGTCTATGTAATTGTTACTGGATTTTTGCCTGAAATTTAGTTTAAAGTGAACTAAATTTAAGTGAACTTTGGTTTAAAGTGAACTTCCTGTGGAGGAAGCAAAGACGAAGTACCCCGAGAGAATAACCGCAAATGTCAGTACAGATTGTTAACTATGATGAGACTTATCATCTGTCCTGGATTCAGCATGGGGCACGTTTCACCATCCTTATTAGTATGGCCCAGGGGTGGGTTTCAACCGGTTCGCGGTGGTCCCCGCGAACCGGTTGA